AATAATAATGATATTAATTTTATTTTTAATTTTATATATAGATTAAGAAAGGAATTAGAAATGTATAATCAATATCTTTGACTATATATAATGTTCATTTTCTTAAATTAAAGACAAACTTCTTTTTTCTAAAAAAAAAAAAAAAAATCATTCCAGTCCAGAGAGGATATTGAAGGACCAACCCCACTAGCCTGTATGTCACTGCAATATATAGTACCATAGCACATCAAAAGACACATGCACACAAAAATGAACGTCTGTATCAGTTACCATCATTGGGTCCTATATAAGCAGAAACAAAATTGCATTATGAAAAAGAACAGGCCCTGGAGGCAGTGCCGCACAAATATATTAACCTCACTGGTTATTCTTTGTCCTTTCTTATCTTACTGGGCCAAGATTTTTCTTTTTATTTCTATAAATTTGTGAAAAATATATACACATATTATGCATGCCATATGTGTACGTATAAATATCTTTGTGGACAATTTGGCTAAGATCAAATACGAAAGGGATTTATTTGGTTTTGAGAAAATTTGGATTACGTTCCTTTCAATCATGATGTTTAATACATATCTTTATGAAGGTCGGTCCAAGAAATGTCTATTCATGTCGTGACAATTGTATTAACTGATCATCTCTATGACGAAAGAAGCAAAGAAAAATTTAACGATTATCAAATGGGATATCATTAGTCAATTTCTTACGTGTTAAAATCGTCATCATAAGATGGAGACTTTAATTTAGATTACGGAAAGGAAACAAAGTCCAATCCTGTGGCTGAGAATCATACTCCAAAAGGCATGAGAACACCTTGAATTTACATGGTGCGAGCCCTGAGTTTCCTTTTATAAATCTTAAAGGGAAAATTTAGGGTTACAGACTTACAGGCTCTAGGGTTAGGGCTCAAAAAATCCAGAACTTCTCTTCAAGGTCAGTTTCTGTTTCAGTTCAGGTAAAGCTGTAGCCGCCATATTTGAGGGCCCATTAAGCTTAATGGACATATATATGGGCCAAATTTGTGTTTGAGCATGAAGAATATAAATTTCATTTGTTCGGGGGTTTGGAACTTTGGGTTCCTAAATGGGCGGAAGCTTGAGCCCACACGTTAGTAATTGGGCCACACCCAAAACTGACAATTCTAACAAAGAGAGATTGTGTACTAAGCCAGCACTGGATGGATGATGTACTGGAGTGGGTTTAACTCATTTTTTCCCTTTTCTAGTGGTTTTTTTTTTTTTTTTGGGTAATTAGAGGAAAGAAAATTATATAGTTATAATTTTAGAAGATATTGTGAGTTTATAATATGATGTGTTATGAAATAATTGACTTTTTTTAACTTAGAATCCACTTGTGATACTAATTTAATATTATATAATAATTATAAACTTATAATCATATATAACATTATAATTATAGTTTTTTTGTAAAGAAAATAATTGAGCAAAAGAGAAAAAACATTAGCAAGTCCAGGGGGAGGGTGTGTTTGGTCAATGACCAACTTTTTCAAAAATAAAAAATAAAAAAATCTAAGAAGAGTGATTAGTTAAAGTACTACATAGAAAATTGAAAATTTTGTAATGAAGTTTTATTAAAATTTTGATAAGTTGTTAATATTGTTGTGTCTTATGTAAGAAATTAACGTAGAAAATGTATAAAGAAAATTAGTAAAAAATTATCAAGTATGTCATATATATATATATATATATATTTTTTATCAGGTTACTAAGGGGTTGGGAAACCCAGCCCAGGGGAAATGGGAGGGGGATGACCTCGAACTCGATATCTATAAGTATTTTTATGCGCGAAGTTACCAATTGCTCTACTTAAGAGTTCTCTAAGTATGTCATATTTAAAGAAAGTTGTAAAAAATGTATACATATTAAACCATCATTACAAAATCTTAAAAATAAGACCCATTTTCTAAGAAAGTAAACACCTAGTCCCAAAATGTCAGCAATACAATAAGCTTCAACAGGAGAGGGGACGCAATAAAAAATCACAAGTTCACAACTATCCCGAGCACTGATCAACGTACACCAGCACAAGCAGGATCATGTTTGGTTGATTTGAGTAGACGTTTCTTATTCAAATCATATAAAGATTTTATAAAGTATTATAATATAAACAGATGTGTCATTAATTATCTCTGTAACCTGAGATCTATCGGGTTTGGGTTGGATGCAATTAACCCAAATCACATAAATTTGCATTCTATAATTATTTTAACTCCAAATAATTAAATTAAATTTTGAGTGTTAAAAGGAAAATGTATCTTCTTATTTTATTTTATTTTGCATTTGAAAGTACCAAACCATGGTCGGATGAAAAACACTTTTTTATAATTTAAAAAATAATTAATACATATTCTGTTTAAAATATTTTTAATAGTTATTTTGATTTAATTATTAAAATATAATATAAATATAGTTGAGTTTTCTATTTTGCACATATAATTGCATTATTAAATTTATTTATCTTTAATTTTAGATTAAAAATAATAATTTTTTAATAAATATATTATACAATATATTAAACTAAAAAATAATGATTGATACACATTTCGGTTCAACACACTGCGTGACACACTCATTAAAAAATCACTATTTTTTAGTTTGAAATTAAAAACAGACAAATTTAATTATATAATTATACACACAAGATACATGAACCGATTAAATTAACTGTATTTAAATTATATTTTTAATGACTAAACTGAGAGTATGTCAAAAAAATATATTAAATCGAAAATGTACCAATCATTCTCCTAAACTAAAATGTATATCAATTAATGTTTTTATTATTTGGGTGTGGCTAAGTGCACATAACCAAAACTACATGCTATATGCTCAATTTCTTCAAATATAAAGAATCCAAGGTTACTCTAAAAATGAGAAAAATTAGAATTTAAAATATATTTGATGCCTTCCTTTGGGTCACTAACTACGTACTGCTGATGCTGCGTTTGCCTATCCCACACCTCCTTCTCAAAATAATTCCTCACGTCAGGAATCGCTGCCCTCTCACTCCACAGACACTGACACATAGACCGCATGCCTACCTTGAACAATTGGGAAAATCCTTATTTGCCTTGTTCACCGTCCTTTCTGTTTGTTTATTTTAATTTTGCTTGCTTCATGGTGGCAGATTATTTGAGTACTCCAACATGCAAACCGCCCATTCCGAATAAATATTAGCGAAGATAAGGGGAATGTTCCATGCAACGATTCCTTTCATTTAATACTCTTTTGAGGACCAGAAATTAACAACTTTTTTTTAATTATGATTTTATCTTTTTACATAAAGATGACCAAAGACTTTAACGTATGCAAGTCACGAAATGAGACTTGGACTTCAAATGAAAAAGGTGAAATGAAGACACATTTTGTACTCCAAAAGTAGGCATGAATCAATCCGAATGTTACGTTGAATTTATTAGTAATTTAGTGTGATTTTATAAGTTAAATTTAAAATATTTAAAATTTAAAATTATAATTTGAAATTATTAATTTTTTTTAAAATACACTATATTAATGTAGTTTTTTTTTCTTTAATGATTAGATTACCTTTCGTGAGTCTGTATAATTTCAAAATTAATTATTTCTTAAACAATTTTATATGTATCATATCCAGAAAAAGAAAAACTAATTTTTTTAGTTATAAAATGTACACATAGAGCGTGAAACTTGGTTATTAGCTTGAAGTCTACCAGCTAGTCCATTAGATAAAAGGGGCATGCCAATTCACACACGCATATTATAATATAAACAATCGAAATTTTCTCTCAACTTATAAATTGAATTTACATATAAAAAATATTATGTATGTTATAAGCTGAGTTTAAATATTAAGTTTTAAAATTAATATTTAAAAAAATTATTTTTTTAAATGTATAAAGTCGATATGAGGGGCACCTTGGTAATAAATTAAAAAATTAAAATTATCTTTCAAAAAAATAAAATGGGGTATATAAATTGTTAATAAATGTTTTTTTTTCTTTTTTTTGGGTAATGGATGTGCTAGCAAGGGTGTCACTGTTTCATTCCATTACCAACTTAATGAGTGGGCAAAGTATCCAAATGCCTTGCTTTAATTAGTCAAACTAATAATTGGAATCACAACCGGCGTGATTTCTGGGGTTTAATTGTCCGCCCATGAAGCAAGAAATTGCATATTGTATGATCCGAACCAGTTGGCTCCACTGTACATAAACTGTTTGATTAAATGTCTTAATTAACACAAGACACGGTAATCTCTTAACTAAAAACCAAATGACTTAAGATATTAACCGACATTAATCGTCTACTTAATCTTCTATATTTTCAAAGGTTGTACTAACTTGTCCAAAGGGATAGAAGGATGTTTGCTCTCACCAGAAAAAAAGTTTACATGTGTCACATATGATTATAAGTTCATTATAACAATTTAATATAAAAAAAGTAGATACATATAGTATCATACTGAGTTTAAATAAAAACCATCATAATCATAATTATAAATTTACAATATCACATGACATTGTAATTATATTATATTTATTAAAAGTTACAAACCCACTAAAAAGAATTAAAAAAAAAATGAGAACATCTTTAAATGAAATACACATTGATACCTATTAGTTCAACTAATAAAATATGAGCTTATAAATATTTTTGTCTTAAATTTTAAATTAAAAATGATAACTTTTTATTAATAATTACGTTATAAAATATATTAAAACGGGAAGCCTCTATATCCATGTCCAACGAAGTTAAAAAGTCGTTAATTAAGAAGAAGACAACTAACAGAAGAAAAAGAGAAATGTAGAGTGTGCACAACAGAAACAAGAAAAGCAAGTAAAAGGGAGGAAAAAAAGGAGGGGAAAGGCGCAAATTCTGTGGTTCTAGTCTTGCAAACCAATCCTCCAGTAGGGGAATCGTTGCAAAAAAGTAATGGGTTTGCTTCAAAGCCATCCGAATCTCACTCGTTTCCTGCCCTCCTCATGCTCACATTGCACATTCCTTCATCTCCTCCTCAATATAATAATACACATCCCTACTCCTTTCTCCATGTCAATGATGTTATATATATGCATATGACTTGCAAGCTTGGTAACACAACACTGCTAAACCAAGCAAATGCACAAAACCTTTCTCGATTTTGATATAATAGTTCCTTACTCTTGAACCATTACAACCATTCAGTTTGTTTTCATTTCCAATCATCTCTATTTATACACAGCAGGTTCTTTGTTTTTCTTGTTTATTGTGCTGGTTTTTCTGTATAAAAGATGATGATGGAGGCTCAGGGAGAAGTTTCGTGTAAAGATCATTTGGGAATTATGAAGGGTAAGCGCACAAAGCGTCAGAGGTCTCTGTCTCCCCTCACTCTGGCCATGGCTTCGAGTTCTTGCAGTGACGGGGAAAGTGAGGGCGAGTTGGGTGGGAGAAATTACAGTGATGTTGATAATGATCGTGCGGTTGTGTCGTCGTCTCCGGTAACATCGGGTGAGTTAGCGGAGAGCACAGAGGAGGAGGAAGACATGGCCAATTGTTTGATGCTTTTGGCCCAAGGGCAAAGGCCAAAAACAGAACCGCCGACCAGCACAGCAGGGTGCGTTTACCAGTGTAAAACGTGTGACCGATGCTTCCCATCGTTCCAAGCACTCGGCGGACACAGAGCGAGTCACAAGAAACCGAAGGTGGTTGGAAACAACGAAGAGAAGAAGGCGTTGAATTTTGGGGAAGAGGAGGATGATCCATTGCAATTCAACATGAGCACCGCCCTTTCTCTGCAAATTCCAAACAGGGTTTTATGCAACGGTACCAGAAAAGCCAGTAAGATTCACGAGTGTTCCGTCTGCGGTGCCGAGTTCTCCTCCGGTCAAGCTCTCGGCGGTCACATGCGGCGGCACAGAACGTTTGCCAACCCAACAACGGTGGCAGCCTCGAGTGTTGGTACTACAAGTAGTCCTGAATCACAAGCGTCAAAGAAATCCAGAAATCTTCTGCAATTGGATCTTAATCTTCCTGCCCCAGAAGAGGAATCCAAATTTTCAATCGGTTCCAAAGAAAAGTTACTTGTGTTCTCAGCATCCTCTTTGGTTGATTGCCATTATTAGTAGAAATTAATTGTATAATTATGTATTGATCAATTATTAACAGTATTATTATTTGAGTACAATAGATGAATATAAATTAGTAATTCTTTCATAATTATTGAAGCTTCCTAACTATTATATTATATGGTATAAAAGTATTATAGACAATGTTATTGCTACATTTTTAATTACTATTGCCATCGATGTAGCCTTAGTATTGAAGAGGTAGGCTATCCAACTTGGGACAAGAAATCATATTTTTGCAACCTTTAACCGGCAATGGATTTAGGAATTTGGGTGAATACCACGACCTGTTGGGGTGGATTAGGTTCTTTTGTTGTTTGGTTTGCAAGAAAGATAAGCTTTCTGTCTTTGTCTATCTGTTTCATTAATGTGACAAAAAGTTTAAAAGGATGGCAAGTATAAGCAGAGCCAGTGGCTGTAACTGCTTCTTTTTTAGCTTCCACCTGTGCAATTATTAAGGTAGAAAATAGCTCTAATTATGACACCCATTTTCTATTCAATTGAGCCATGTGATGATGTGAATCAACAATTTAGCTGGCACTTGTGGGTTGTGGCCTAGATGCTCACCTTTAGGAAATTTGAAACACCTCATCACCTATGCCTTGTTGCCTAATCATTGACAATTTGCGTGCTAACAACTGAATTTAGTAGCCAAATTTAATTTAATTTGTGTATTCTACATTAATTTGTTGTTTGTGTATGCCAATCCAAATCTACTTGTATGCATAATCATCCAGAACGAGATTTAAAGAGTTGGGAAGAAAATTTTCATCTATATAACTTAAAAAAAATTAGATTTTGGTTAATAACGTGTTAGAAACCATATATAAAAGATCTTCAACTTTCATGGTAAGATGAAACAATGACAAATTAAGGAGCTTACATGTATACCTAGTTTTCCCCTTTTTGTCTTGTTCAACTTTCTAAGCAAAGTGGCCTGTAGACGGTGGTAGAGGGAGAGAAATAGAAAATAAAACAATAAATTAAAGTGGTGTAAAGTTTTTAGTGTCTTTTTTGTGGGCATATTTGGTGGGTGTTGAAAAGCCACGCATGTTATCAGATAAAGGCACCACAAGTCCATGAGAGAAATGGACACATGCAGGATGGCCACATTATCCAAGAGTAAAACTCTTCAACAGAAGTTGCTTGTATTTAATGGTTCTGTTTGTTGTTTGGGGAAAAAAGCTTCTTAATGTGCCATTTCATGCATGATTGCATGACAGTGGCCACTCAATTAATAAGAGGAGCATGTGTAAAGAAGGGCACTTTCTTCATGTGATTGGCATTGGGTTATGTTCATAAACTTGGTCGACGGATTGCTTTTCAAAATTCCAATTAGTACCATAAATACTAGCCATGTTAACCCTAGGAAATTTAGTGGGGAATCCAAAGTTTTGTTGAAAGAGTTAATTTATATTGTTGATTTTAGTTGCTAGATATTCAAATCCAAATTTTCTTAGATAGGGATATTGAAAAGGTTTGTTTAATTTAAAGAAAATGGAAGAGATCGAGGAGAAGAAGCTTCCTTTATTTGAGCAAAAAATAAATTTAAAAAATTGGAGAAAATAGAGGAAAAATCTTCCTTTATATAAAATTTTTATTTGGTTAAATATCTAATTTGGTCCCTAAACTATTATATAGGCCCATGATTGGTTTCTAAACTAAAAAAATTCTTGATTTGGTTTCTAAATTATTGTACGAACCCCAACTTGGTCCATACTATTTATTAATTTGCCCAAATTAGTCTTTTTGTATAAAAAATAGTTGACATGTTTCGTTATTAACATAATATGTGATCGTTAAGTAACTATTTTTTGTTGTTAAATAACTGATTATTCAAGTGTTTTTTGTACGGAAAGATCAATTTTGAGTTAAATCAATAAACAATATGACTAAATCAAGGGTCCGTATAATAGTTTAGGGGCTAAATTAGAAGTCTGTACAATAATTTAGGGACCAAATTGGGAGCTTAACCTTTTTGTTTTTATTTCCTCTTTTTTTTTTCTTTTTTTTTTTCGAACTTGGGTAATGTATAATTAATTAAGTTTCATTTACATCCTTACATAGTAGATAAAGTAGGATATTAGAAGGACAATGTGCCCAATATAAGAGGCATTGTCCACTAAGGGACGTATGAGCAACCCAGTCTGTAACTTGGTTGCTTGTACGTGATACAAAATTGAATCTAAATCTATGATAACTAACACTAGATTGACTAATACTCATTATAAGGGCTTTAGCCTCCAAAGGTGAAGGCTTAAAAGGTTGCTAGATAGATGAAATTAACAGCTGGTTGTCAGATTCAAAGATGACATCTTGAATACCATTATCTTCTACAAATCGAACAACTCTAAGAAGAGTAGTTGCTTTTGCCATTAGTGGGGTTGATGCCACGCAATGCCAAGTCTTTCCAAAACAGATTTCCCCATTCAAGTTGCGTCCAACCATGGCTAACCTAAATTTGATGAGAATGAGGCATCCACATTAACCTTGATGATGCCATGTGGTGGCCTAGACCATGATAATTTGTGTTGTTGTGCATGTGGTTGGGGCTTGGACGGTGATACCAATAGATCCAGGTGTTTTGGAGATAATTCCTAGATCATGTGAGAGATAAGGGTGAGGACTTGAATAGGAAAGACTTTAGCTCGTTTGAAGTATTTCTCTTTTCTTGCCTTCCATATATTCCAGCAAACAAGAACACAATAATCTACCAGATTAGGAAGGTGCATCAGCTTGGCTACATTCTTAACATACCTCCACCATTCCACAAAACAACCCACCCCCAACTGCTGTCAGTCAAGACCCAAGGCTGAACCAAACCAAATTGGTTCTACGTGAGGGCAATAGAAGAGCAAATGCATTATGGTTTCATCAATTAAATGGCAAAAAGGGCATAACGCTTCTTGAACAATCCCTCTTTTCATCAAATTATCCATTGAAGGCAAAGAGTTAAGAATGGCCCTCCATAACAAGACTTGAATCTTAGGAGGCACTTTCATTTTCCATATATGCTTCCATTCAGCAGAAGAAAGGGTCATATTATCATGATTCAAATTAGTTTCATGAACAACATGAGTTGTAAAAAGGTAAGCACCTTTTACAAAAAATCTTCCATATCTATCATAATGCCAAATAAGGGAGTCATAGCAAGATCCAATTGCAATTTTAAGGACTTCTCGACATTCCTCACTACTTAAATATGTATTAAGCTTGGTAACATCCCACTCTCCATCATCATCAAGTAGTTCACAAACATAAGAGATTACAGAGTTATTGATCGAGAAGGAAGTTATCTTGAATTCGGGTAAGGTGGGGACCCATTTGTCTTGGTAAATCAAAATGTCTTGACCATTGCCAACATTCCATCTTGCTCCAAGTTGTACAAGATCCCTTCCTTGCAAATCTTACCAATTATTTCAAACTGAACAAAGTCATTTATTTCTATTAATCCTGTATATTGATTTGAGATTGTAGATTTTTCAAATTAGATTATTAAAGGTATTTAAATAATTTTAAGAGTATTATTGCACATATTTCTTTCAAGTCAAGTTGTACTAACTTTAAAAGGTTTATTTGGGATGAACGTTAGCAAAGTGGCTTAATTTGAACAAACCAATTAGTTGAGGGGCCCATTTTGGGTATTGCAGAAATAATCATACATCTGCAGCATGATCTGCTGTTGGCCACTCTACTGTTGCGTAAGAAAAAAACGACCAAAGCGCAGAAACCGAACAGAAATGGCGGTACCAGCGAGGCGCAATGGTCTCTAATGGAAGAAGACGACGATCACGAGGACGAGAACTCTCTTTTCGAAGGTGAAGGTCTCAACGTTGAAATTGAATCTGACACGCCTCCTCATCTCCGAGAACTCACCGTCGGTGCCCAGCTCGGCGACGTTGATGCCCTCCGCCGTGCGATAGGGTTTCGTCTACCCTTTCCTCTTCTATTTTTTCACTTCTCTTTACTTGTTTCACTCTTCATTGATCGAATTTTTGTTTTTGTTCGAATTCGAACTGTTCCTACTAATTATTGTTATTGGCCACTCTAAACCCTAGGGTTTGTCCTGTTAAGGATTCTAAAGTTTGTAGTATATGAGGAGAATGGATTATTGGTGAAAAAGTTGTTCTTTTTTTGGTATCATAATTCATAATGTAGAAGTCTGTATTCTGCCAGTTATTCTATGGATTGGTATGAGCTTTTGCATTCTTCTATTGGTACTCTGTTGCCATAATCTTATCAATTGATTTTGATTTTTTGCTGTTTCTCATTACATAGAGTCGATTTGATAATTTATTTTTTATCTCTTTTTGCTCAATCTGATGAAATGAAAGCAGCTGCACATCTTGATGCTGTCAATTGCAGGGAGTTTTGTAACTAAATAAAGCTAACGTATTGGTATATCATAGGGAGTATATCTTGGGAAATATAGGCAAAGATGAACGGGGGCGTTGGACTCACTGAAAAAGTGCCTTAGAACCCTCTCGAGGAGGCTACTTAGAGAATTCACTTGCTTTCTATTTTGTCAAGTTTAATTCCAGATTTCTGTAGTCTCTTATAACGCCTGCTAACACTTTCCCTTCTTGTTATATAGATAACTTAAATGGCGGCATTAATGAGCCTGCAGAAGATGGGGACACAGCTCTCCATCTCGCCTGTCTATACGGCCATCTGCCTTGTGTCCAGATCAGTGCCTCATATTTAACAGCCTGCTCCACTCCCTCTCTACGTTATCCCTAAAACAATAGGAGGAAGTATTATTCTTATTTATGGTCAAGAAATTTGTTCCCATGCAGCTACTCTTGGAGAGAGGGACTAATTTGGAGGCAAAGGATGAGATGGTGCAGTTCCTCTACACGATGTTTGTTCAGGAGGTCTGTTACAATTGCAAATTTTTGTTACCCTGAATTTTTCCTCTATTCTTGTACTGGCTTTACTTGATCTCCATTTTAATGACTGCTTCAGGATTTACTGAGATGGTACAACTTCTGCTTAACAATGCTAATCATGCCAACTATGTGAAAATGTTGCTTGAATCAGTTGAAATGGAAGCTGATACTGTGAGTACTACATAAATCTTAATATCATGAGTTTTACTTTTACTCCTTACTCGTTGATGAAAACCTAAAGTTGGTGAATTCTCTTTTCCTTGGCTTAGTAAACTGCACGATTTCCATTACTACAAGAAAAACCAGACTAATGTTTAGCCCATGTATCTACTGAATAAAGGATACTTAAAAGGGGGCTGAAGAATGGAGCAGTTGCCCCTCTTCCAACAAGAGGTGAGCATGTGGATATTATAAGATTGTTGCTGGCTTCAGGAGCTTCTCCCACAAAGACAAATGTATATAGAAAGGTTAGATAATTTTATATATATATATATATATATATATATATTTTTTTTTTTTTCTCTCTTTTTTTTAAATATATTTCAAACTAGAGAATGGTGCACTCCAAGTGAGCCGGCTGATCCAGATACAAAAGCTAGGAGAGTTTTGGAGGCAGCTACTGGTGCTGAGACTTGTCAATGAAAACTAAATTGATTGTTCTCTAAATATACCATTAGCTACTCTCTTTTTGGGGGGTGGTTGTGGTTGGTCATTGTTTGATCCCATGCAGCAGTAGGTAGACCATTAGTGCAATAGGATAGGGTTTCAGTATTCTTTCGTTATTTCATATATAGCATCCGAATGTCTTAAATGACTGCAATTTCAAGTCATTTGTCTGTTCCATGACACATTTATACCAATAATATTTTTATACGAAAAATAATAAAATTTCTCCTACTGCATAGGGTGTTTGACCATTTGCTGTTCCAAAAAAGCCGTGTGAGCTATTTATCTTTGACCTTATTCTTGTTGGAACTGAGGCACATGTAGGAGACACACACCCCTTGGAATGTTGGGGAATGGCGATTAATCAGAAATTTGAAATCTCGGGTAAAATCAATGAAAGCAATGTTTTCTAACACCGATGATAATTTTCCAAGAAGTGCAATACAAACAAATTTACACAAGCTAATAGATCTTGATGTAGAGACTAGAAAAAAATCTTGATAGAGATCATAATGTACACAAGTTGTTCACATTCTAGATGCCAAAGGAATGTACCACCGGGGCGCCCAGGCATTGCGTTGAAAGTAAGTCGTGCTTTCTTGGCACGTTCTCCATGTTGTGCCATGTTAAGAGCAGCAACCGCCACTTTGAGGAGGCTGATTTTCTGGTTTCTGCTTTAAAATGTTCCTCTTTATATTAGATCCTTCTTCCAAAAGACTAGGGACCTCCATTATCTGTTTAACAATCCATGGCAATCAGAAAATCAGAACTACGGAGTATCATTATTCTCGTATTTTAACAATCTCTAATCATGTTTATTGATTTACATTTCAACAAGAAAGCTACAGATTAGGGATGCATTATCAGAAAATACCTTCAATGCAAGCTCCTCAAAGCATCGTTCCACGTTTTCTCTAGTTTTAGCACTACATTCAACAAACAAACACCCAAGTTCTTTGCCAAGGGCCATTCCTTCTTCTCTGCTAACAACCCTCTCGGACTCCTGAGATTATAAAAAATTGATACAATAAAAGGAGAGCCTTGTCATTTTTTTAAGTAGAACTCAGTTCATGGCTAATGCCCAATGGGAAAAACCTTGTTAGACAATTAACTGTTAGTGATGGTTAAAAGGACTAATAGCAATATTTGGAAATGCATATCTTATCTTTCAGTGGTAAACTAAACAGATGGCAACTAGGAGAATCGTTTATGTGTTATCCTCTCATATATAGAATATATTACAGGAAGAATATGGTGGAGTATCATTTTACTGCAATGAATGAAGACTAACCAAAGACAAATTACCAAGACAAGTACCTAGGTTTGTATTTGTCACTGTAAAAACTAAAAAGAAGTACAGATGACAGATAAACTTACTCTATCAACTTTATTTCCGACAAGCATCTTGACACAGTCCTGATTGGTAGAATAGAGCTCCACTTCTTTAGCCCACACATCACACAAGTTTGTGAAGGATTCTCTCCGTGTAACATCATAAACTACGACCAAAGCAACAGTGAAAGAAAGTAGAAAAGTAGCGTTTCAGATGATTTAAGGTGTAAAGCAGAGTCATTTTTTATAAATATGTTGGTGATCTGTGCAAGATATCCAATTTTCAAGATCCAGCATTCCAGATTAAGATGCAAAGGCATAAATGTAAGATGTTAGCACCAGAATTAAGATAATGAGGAATTATAGAACAAACTTTTCATAGAGACCTGCATACTTGATCATCATATCATGGAAACAATTGTCGAAGGCATAAAACAATTTAGAGTCTAAATTATATAAGAAATGAAAATTTTTATTATCATGTGTGCTCTCCCTGAAGTTCTTCAACAATATTGTCTGAAATGAATTAATTCATTACTTCTCTCTTTAACATGTTTCCTGGTAGTGGAAAGCTGCAACATATGTCCTCCTTTATCTCCTTTATAACTATCAATAATATGTTATGGGGAGAAATAAATAAAATAATTTTCCATTGAAGATGGTAACACGTGGTCTTCTCTTTCCATTCAAGAAATTTCCATTGCCTTTTCTTCTCTTCTTTGTTTTTAACATTTTCTATGATTTATATTGCCCTTCATCCATTCCATGAAGAAAAAAAAAAAAGATCTTTTTTGTCCATCAACTTAGTGGTCCCCTTTTGTAATGTTTATCTACTCTACTCCAAACGCTATTTCTCCATCTCAACCAGCACAAAGGGCTCAATCAAGAATTTAGCATAAGCACGTAAATATTGTTTCCATTATGGCTAACATAGTTCATCTGAGATTTAAACCCAGCATCAGAGCCAGCCACTAACCTTGGTATTAGATATGCAATCGGTTATCCTATATCTGGCAATTTATACCACTGATGGACTCCGGTAAGTGAAATCAAGAAAGAGAATATTTCATTCATGTTGTAAAAAAATAAACATACCAAGAATGATCCCTTGGGCACCTCTATAGTAAGAGCTTGTTAATGTCCTGAACCTTTCCTGTCCAGCTACAAGAAGCAATATGATTTCAGACATCACCTATGCCCATGCCAACATAAAATTTTGAAAGCAAGACTCTTACAGAAAAGGCCAAAGATAAAATAGAAAAGCGTGCTCCTTTCACAATGTGAAAAATCTAAAGTAAATGGATGATTGACTCCAATAAAACAGTTCAACTTTTCACACTGGACATGTTCCCCTCTCTTGCATCTTTCAAAAGTTTTGCGCTAAGGACCACCCATGAAGTAATAGGCTACTAAGACAAATTGGAACTATAAAAGGACAAATGAACAAGGAATATAAATTTGGAATTGACAAGCACAAAAGATCATAAACAAGCGAAAACTTCATCTCTAAGCACCTGTATCCCAAATTGTGAGCTTCAATTTCTTCCCACCTACTGCTAGCAGCTTGATCTTAAAATCCACTCCTAAACCAAACAAAACACAAATTAATGATCAATCTAAATTGCATATATACATCAAGAAACTCTGAAATCCACAAAAACTGCAATCAGATTCAAGCATTAATGACACAAATCAACAAAAACTACTAAAAATGAACACAAAAATTGCAGTCGTCAGTTAGCAATTACTAGCTGAGTTTCCGTAAGATCCACGAAGCTAAAGCGAACTAAACTCCAAAAACCGCACGCGTTTCCTTTTTATTCTATTTCAATCTCCCAGCAACCAAAAAGAATCTCAAAAGAAAAAGAAAAGGAAATGTGAGAGTACCAATGGTAGGAGCTAGATCTTCAACGGAACTGGAAATGAAGCTAACCAGAATACTACTTTTGCCGACACCAGAATCGCCGATCAACAAGATCTTGAAGGAGAGATCGTAGCTCCCACCGCTTTGTCCCGAGGACGATCCCATCGAATCCACCACACTCCTCCTCTCCGTAATCCTTTTTCAGTTTACCGCCGCCGCCGTACCTAATGAGGGTAATGATGAAGGCGAGGGGAGAGATAGCGTCGGCTTTCTTTCTCTGTATAAAAAGTAGAGTGAAAAAGAAATGTACAAAAACGGAGGGGAAAAGCCAAAGGCATCAATGCGTTCAGTGAGAGAGAAGAAAAAGAAAACGGCTCTACCCGGAGGGAAACACACACCTGACAACAACGTATTCTTTGCTTTTTCCTTTTTGGTTAAATGCTAAATTTAGTCCCTAAACTTTATGAAATGCATATTTTTGGTCTCTCAACAATTTTTTGCATTATTTTGATCCCTGACTCTAAAAATTGCACAATTTTGGTCACTCCATCAGTTAAGTATGATGTAACAGTTAAATAATTTTATGTGGCATTGTCTTTTAATTTTTTTGATGATATGGCAATAATATATATTATAATTATGTTATATAAATAAATAAAAATGTCACGTAAATTAATATTTATATTTTAATTAAAAACAAATGAAATTACCTTATTACACTCACCCTCCCAATCCCTCTTCTTCCCCTACTTTCTTTCTCTTTTTTTCTTTCCTACCCTAGGTCAGTGAATAAGTTGGGTTTGTCAAAACCCAGATCGGTTGGGTTCCAATGAACCCAGCCTTGCTAGTCGTGCGAACCAGCCTTGCTGGTTTTGTCGAAACCTAGCCTTGCTAGTCGTGCGAACCAGCTTTTCTGGTTTTGTCGAAACCCAGCCTTGTTGGTTGCGCAAACCAGCCTTGTTATTTTGACGTTGGGTTCATGTTTTTTCATTCTTCTTTCAATTTCCATTCCCAGTTGTTAAAAAATTTGGGAGTTGATTTACAATTTGATTGCATTTTTATTGGAATTTGATTAGAGTTTGATTGATATTGTTTATTAAAGGATTAATTTGATTTGATAAGATCTGCTAGGTTTGAGGCTTCAATGAAACCTAGTAGCTGGGTTCAATGATAGAGAATTCCAAATTCTCCTTTGGAACATTCTAGGGTTCATAGACATATTATTTTGTAAGGACTTACCCCACTAGCAGTAGAGGCAACCCAACTCAAGCAAATCTTATCACGAATTCCCTGCATTTGGTCAATTTCTCAAGTTCCCCTGAGAAAAGAGAAGAAGAGGAAATGTGTTAAGATCAGTTTTGTAGATGGAGTGGAGATGAGAGAGCATTCAGAGAAGAAGAAGAAGAAATGGGTTAAGATCGATTTTGCAGATGGAGTGGAGATGAGAAAGCATTCAGAGAATAAGAAGATATGAGTTAGATTTGATTTTGCAGAGAGTGAAGATGAGAGATCATTCTAGGGTTCACAGACCTTTCTTTATTGATGGTTTGCCGACAACATGGGACCCATTGGAGAGGCTTTGGCATGGGAAGATGACATATCATAAAAAAAAGTCTAGATCAGCACCTTTTTAAGTTGTCCTCGCCATGTCATAAAAAAAAATGCCATATGGTCAAGTTAACGGCTCAAATTGACAGAAAGACTAACAGAGTGCATTTCGTATAATTATAGGATTAAAAAAGTGTAAAAAATTGTTGAGGGACCAAAAATGTGCAACCCACTAAAGTTGAGGGACCAAATTTAGCATTTAACCTTCCTTTTTTTTTCTGTTTCTTTTTTCCTAAATCTTAGATGCGATGCCGTTTTCGTGGGTTGTCTGCCTTACCTGGGGCCACGAGGAGAATTGTGGAGCGTGGGTGACACGATCAACCGTCGGATGAGACAGCGTTTTCATGGTTGATATGGCCAGGGACAACCTTTAGCTAGTGGACGTTATTTAAGAGCTTAATAACAAGTCACAAGTTAAGTAATTTAATGGTATTTTTTTTAACGTTATATTTAGGTGGAAGAAAACGGAGAGATGGGGAAAATTTTCCTTTTATTTGGGTATAAGAAAATTAGAGGGGGAGAGAAAAAGAAAATATTTTATTTTATTTTATTTTTTTAATATATTTATTTATTCAAATAAAAAGAGGGAAATGAAATGGAATGATAATTTCTCTTTCCTCTATTTTTTTTTTGTTTCTCTATTTCTTTAAATTCAAACATATATTAGTGAAAATAAAAGGTCATAAATTCTAATAACATAGCATGACTAGTGTGGGTAAGAGATTACAAAGAATTATCCTTTATTATGTAAGCAAGATAAAAATAATAATAATAACAAAGAAAACAAAACCTTGAAGTACAAGAATTTATCAAAGCTTAAATTAGATATTTTACATACACAAAAATCATTAAAAAGTTTTTTTAATTTATATATTAGAGTACATGTTAATGATGTATTTATTATACTTTTTAATTATTAAATTTTATAAAAAAATTAAAAAATTAATACTAACACTAATGTCATGTATATTATTTTAATGATTAGTTGTTAAAATAAAATTTAATCTTTATTTTTTATATAATTTAATAATTAAAAAGTATAATAATTATACATTTAACATGTAACATAAAAGTACAAATTAAAAATTATATTGTTAAATTCGAAGATCATCTTATATCCTTACAAAAGGATAATGAGCCAATTAAACGGGGACAAATAAGTTAAACTTATTAATTTTTCATTTATTTAGATTCAAGTCAAATTGAGAAACAACTATATGTTTTTAATAACGTGCCAAAATATTATTATACGATATATAGTTCTGTTAAAAAACCTTCTCTTGGCTTGACTTGGACCTGTTTTTGTTTTAATTTGTTGGGCATCCAATTATTTATCAAGGGAGTGTCTCTTTCTATAGAATCCAAGAAGGCACACCTTGTTCCCATGACAACACAACACTCAAGCGGTTTCCAACAATCAAAATCACAATTTATAAATCAATAATGTCGGTTCAAGAACCGCAGGTATATACATTTTTATTTGCAATTAATTAATTTGTGTAATTACGTGTTTGGTAGTTTCTATCACTTTCTCTTTCTTGTGTTTTTTCTTGTTAGGGAACTTTCTCTTTCTTCTTATTTTTTTCTTTTTAGATTAAATGTTAATTTTAGTTTCTTAATTTTAGAATTTTATATAATTTTTATTTTTTAATTTTTTATGTTTTTTTTTAGTTTTCAAATTATAAAAGATATATATTTCAAAAATTTTGTTTAATTAATTTATTAAATCTGTTCATATATGTACATTTTTAGTTTTAGAATATTTAAAGGTAAAAGATAAAAAAAAATATGTATATATTATAAATTAATGGATTAAAAATATACATATTTAAATAAACTTAACAAATTAATTGATAAAATAAAAAATACATTTTTTATAATTAATGAACTAAAAAAGTGTATAAAAAAATTAAAAAATAAAAAGAATGCAAAACCCTAAAGTTAAGTAATCAAAATTTAACTTTCTTTTTAAAAACATTTGTGCAACGCATTGTATTATTTAGTTCATGGAAAAGTTGCTAAGTCGACATATATCCTTATAAATAGGGAACTAAGTTTTAAACTTTTCAATTTCATAATTAAAACTTTTGAAACAGCAATAGCAATTTTTGGTAGGTTGATAATATGCATCAAATATTTCAATTCATGTCAATGTTTAAGTTCTTATTGAAACAGTTGTAATATTTTTTCTTAGTTAAAAACAATAATAAAACTTTGAAAGGCAGTGATACAATTTTCCTACTGCTTTGCTAAATGCTAAACTTGAAGTTTTCTACGTAGTTCTACAATACGCATGCTGCTATATGGCTCCTGTATACTTTATAAAGTTTGGA